ACATTAAGTGGGAATGATTCCACGTCGCATGACTTCTTATGGAGCTGATAATTTAGTGGCTCTCCCTCTGTTCAGTAAAACATGATATGAGCTACATAATTTAGTTAGCCCGGTACGTCCCGGGCTATACCCAATCAGAAACTCCAGTTACTGGATGATGTCATGCTAAGCAGCTAGTGACGTTCTTTGTTCAGACAGACAACGCCTAACTCCTTAACTCGTAAAGACGCGTGCAAGTGTCTCTCCTCGAAAGAGGAACAAAGGACTACATGTAGTCCTATCCAAGTGTCACTAATAATGTATATATCTTAATTAAATAAAGTATAATTGTTCATAAGTTTGTCGTGGTTTTGTCACTAATAATGTAACTATCTGAATTAAATAAAGTAGAAGTGTTCATAAGTTTGTCCTGTGTTTCGTTGGCTGCCTTGTTGGAACCAAGGCCCACTTAACGGCCCTGTGATAGTCTCATGTTCCTCGACTGGGTTGCGCCCAAGACAACTATTACAAAGGTGAGGCTACGTCATCGTCTGCTTCCTCGGAGTCGCTGAAAGGCGATTCACAGAGAGCAGCTCAGTCCACCTTAACTATTCACAGCGAGCAGCTGCGTCCACCATAACTTTTCACAGAGAGCAGATACGGCCACCCTTATCCCACAGAGTCAGAGAGAGGTTTTACGGCAACAGAACAAACTTCAAAATATGCTCAACATGTATTTGATTTGAGGCCCACATATGGTTCTGGAGATAATGAAACTGAAGGAAAAGTCGTCTACTTACTACAGTTGAACATTTTCATTTATGTGACCTGAGTAAAAGAAGCTGCAAAATGAATGACAGACGTACATAATCCCATCTTCGACCTTATAATAGTTAATCCTAATTATAGCCTCTTGTTCGCAAGAGGCAAGGTCTTCCAGGAAGTTATTAGGAAAATAGTCCAAAGGCAAATTTAAAAAAAAGGCCTGTTTAATGCAAGCCACTTTGTTTTCCGTGCCCGCTATAGCACGACCCTTCGATATTTGAGGCTTACGGACCACGTCATTAAAATTTAACAACACCATATCTACGGCTTTGGTATTCTTAAATATTGTAAACGTCTATGGTACAACATATCACGTTGGCTTGCTATATAAATTGTCAGAATTACAATTCTTGATTAGTATAATGAAGAGGTCGGCGCATAAGGCTGACAAACTTACCCCCATCTCTTGAGCCGAATTTCTAGAGAAAATGTGGGAGTCTCGACGTCTCACAACCCTATGGGCCTTCACGGCCCCTTATAGGGCTAGCGTTACCCTTACCTTTATACATAATCAAGCTTATTAGCTCCTTTTTATCTCAGGGAATATTCAGAGTTTCGGTCGGAGGTGAAATACCTACACCAAGAGATATACAAGCAGGGTTGCCAAAAGGTTCCGTCCCGTTCCCCACGTTTTACGGTCTGTATATAACCGATAGGCCCCAACACCTGGTGTCTGTCTAGGTCTCTTTGCTGATGACACTTGCATAGATGCGACAGACTGCAAAAAGTGCTATGTTCTCAGAAACCTGCAGCGAGGCCTCGGTGCCATTGAGACGTGTGAGTGCTGGAAACTTGAAGCCTCTCAAGACGCAGGCCATATATTTCTTTCATTGACTTAGGCCCCCTGAGGCTCATCTTATATAACATGGACGAAATTCTTACCGATCTCTTAGTTGTCCCTACGTTGGGCTCAACTTCTCACCGGTCGTCTTCTCGCCCTTACATTGGGCTCCACTCGTGACTGCCTATTTCCCGACTTTGCGTCACTTATTAGTTCCTTTACCTGTATCTCTTTCTTCCGGTGCTGCGGCTCACCCGCACCCCGTGTCTGGACTCCTCCACTGGAGTTACTGCCCTCCTCCCTCTTCTCGTGGATGGCGAGACGTTAGGTGGGAAGGGAGGAGAATTGTGGTTGTTGGTGCTGGTAGGCGGGAGTTCGCTTATTGTACACCCTTAGGTGTCTCGTAAGTAGGGAAAGACGGGAGTATCTGGGTTCTGCTCTGTAACTGGTAGAGGTGAGTTCTTATCCCGGGGTCTTATACGGGCCTGGTTCAGGCAGGGCAGGAAGAACCTTACGCTACAATCACATACACCACTTCAGACTTTTGCCATTGGTTAAGTTTTCAAAATAGGAGTTTCCCTGAATTTGTGAATTTCTAATCATGTTGCTTTGCTATGTGATTCTGGCAGATGCTGACCTGACGCTAAGGTTGACAGCCCCTTGATGCATTATGATCAGGGTATGAGGCTCCGGTCGTCCCACTTTTAAGTTATCGCTGTTCCGAGCTGTCAGCTCTCAACTTCTCAAAGACTTTCCGACTCTGCTGAAACTGCCAGAATTCCAGGAAATGTACCAGATGTCACTTCCTGTCCACATAGCAAAACTTGAACTATGTCCCTTCTGCCTGTAAAAGTTGACTATCTGCCGGGTACCTCTGTTTGTATTTTTGCAATCTTAACTTAATATAGATTTAATTAATACAAAAGGTGCACCAAATTATGGTGAACGGTTACATCTGTTTGCAAGATAATCAGCTCTAAGATCTCTTTACAGGTAATCGGATGATTGAAACTCCACAAACGCCCAGTACAACCTCGACCACATCTACCAACAATCACCTATGCTGGACAAGAAAAGAAGATGTGATAAAAAAAAAAAGAATTATAGTCATAAAATCCTGTCATTGGATGAGCAACAAACATTTGCCACCCCACAATATAGATCTAAATTTATCAATACTTAAACAGTTACAACCCTTTGAAAATATGATACGCAAATGTTTGATACTCATCCAAAGTATGAAAAGAAAATGTAGAAAGGCGTGTAAAGTTTTAAAATAAAGCAACAGCACAGATAAGGTCTATTGTTAGGGTTCGCGCATTTAATGCCGGACTGCCGGCTAGAAGTCAGTTTGCATCCGGAAGGTCCTGCGACCGGCCACCTCGACCAAGGTGGTTTTCCTCGNAGTTCGAGTTCGAGTTCCAGTGTGGCTACCGCCGAAGACATTCCGAGTTATAAAGTAACAGCCAGCCGACTACAAGTTGGAGTATAGCAGCCGTCGCGGAAAGAAGATCCGGACGTGTGTGTAATTGTGTAATTGGGAGCGTGTGATACAGTGATACAAAGCTCCCCTACTGTCAACGTGTTACTACTGAAGACAGAGTGAACTGATTTGCGCATAGGGTTATAAGTCGTGAAACCCCGCAACAGTGTTAACAGATTAATGCGCTTAGGGTTATAAAGTGTGAAACCCCGCAACTGCGAGATAATTAATTGTAGCCGTTATTTGTAGATCGTTAAATAAACCAATTAACCATCTCTACGGCGTCTTCGGTAACGTAAACACGTTACAATATATAAAAAATGCGATTATTTGCTCTATCTATACCAGAAAGACAAGCGGACACTGCCTGGGAACCTGCAAAATCGGAGACATAGTTTATGAACCCCCCCCCCATGTAGTGTCTCTCACTACCACACCCACTTCTTCTTCTTCTTCTTCTTCTTCTTCAACACCACAAAAATACTCCCTTCCTTTGCTCATACCCCGCCTCAATGTAAATAGAAGCACATTATCTCCCCTCCCACACTCTATTTGTGTGTTCCGTATGATTCTCTTGGTGTCAAGCCCCATCTGGGGCTCATGACCAAATATTTATTACTCTTTGGCAGTTACGATCTTGTTTCTGTGGGGTGCCCTCTCTGACGAGAAGACGGATCTATCACTTGTACATGCTACTCGTTCTTGCCAGCGCAGTATTTCTCGGGTCCGAGTCCCTAGGGACTCGCTACCGTATTTTGCTGTCTCCCTTTTCGTCGCCTCCTACTACTCGCCGGGTCACGGTGGAGGTATTCGACCCATCCTCCATTTGTTTCAAAGTAAAAGTAAAAGTCACATTGCGAGGATCATGATCAGATATTTATTACTCTTTGACAGTTACTGTCTTGTTTTTGTGGGGCGCCTTCTCTGACGAGAGGACTAGTCTGTCTTTTGTATATGCTGCTGGCCCTTGCCAGCACAATCTTTTTCGGTCCGAGCCCCTTGGGACTCGTGCTCATATTTTACTTCGTCAGATTTGAGACTTCCCTTTTTGTCGCCTCCTAGGACTCGCAGGTTTTGTCTCTTAATTTCCACATTCGGACGGACCAGAAGATACCATAAAGGGATTCGTTGCTGTGGGAATTGCAGTAGCTGTGGCTGTCATTCCCGTGGTAACGTCAGACAATGTATGCGTTGTCACGTTTACGTGTTTGCAATTGCTGCCTAGGCAACGAGGTATTCACTATTCCTTGTATGGGAAACATAGTTACTGAGTCGTTGTCTAGCAATGGTCGTCTCTTTATGATCTGCCTCGGAACCGTGTTTTAACTATTATTATTTTGTGCATTTACTTCTTTTTCTTTTCTTACATATCTATTTTCAAATAAATATAAGAATATTGTTAATGAAGCAACAGACGCCTTGCAGAAATCCTTTTTCTCTAGTCGTAAGAGCTCTGCAACTGACTTTGGGTTTTCTTTTCTGCTGTTCATGGACAGAATGTCCATCATTGTTGCTCGTTGGTCCTCGAAGTCTGCAGAAATTATTGATATTTTGGAGGAATGTACTGCCTCCATTTCCAGGCTCGAATATTAAGACAAGCCTGCAAGTGAAGATACAGGCAGTACGTTCCTCTGAAGTATCAATAACTCTTGCCAGACTACACGGCTTCACATTCCAGAAGTCATAACACTGTCATGAAAACCTCAAGTCTCTTGTATTTCTACATGAAAGCAAGAAGAGAGCCGTTGGTAGGTAAAGCAAACTAATTACGTTTCCACGGCAATGAATCAACACGCAGCAATAAAGGAACCGCTGATAAGTAAAGCCACAACCTAACCCACGGGGACGATGTCCTCTAAGCGGTACGTGCCTTATCTATATAAGTACGACTGACCGTCTTTCGTAACATAATCAACTCTTCATTAGCTTCAATAGCTTCGTAGAAGAGGCGACAGAACAAAATGAGAGAAATCATACATCTCCAGGTTGGCCAGTGCGGCAATCAGATCGGTGCCAAAGTAAGGATTTACACAGGCTGAATGTATAACACATCTGAAGTCCTTTTAATAGTAATTGTGAGCCGGGATAGCGCAGTCGGTATAGCTACTGGCTGGATGACCGTGTGGTCGGAGTTCGAGTCTCGGTGTGGTCAAGAATTTTCTCTTCACATCGTCCAGACCTGATCCAGGGTGCACGTAACCTCCTATGAAATGGGTACCGGCGACTTTCTCCCCGGGAACAAAGCAGGCGGGGTGTGAAGCTGACCACTAACCTGAAACTTGTGCCGAGGTCAAGAAAACATGGGTCTCTAATTCCACTCCCCCATACTCCTTCATAGCTTTCTTAGATAAGTAGAGGGACAACTTTACCTTTAGTACACGTAGTAATTTCCATGTATGCAACCAGAAGACGAGGAAAAAGACGTAAGTAGATGCTGGATGACCTTGGGGACAGAAGAGGATTTTTTTATTTGAAGGAGAAAGGTGTAGATCGCATTAAGTGGAGGAAGTGTTTTGGAAGAGACTGTGGACCTGTCGTATGACAGATTACTGATGAAATGAATGAAATAATATGGTTGGGTCTTTGGTCACGATATATGCGGATTAATTTATCATGTAAAGTAAGTAAAGCTATCCCTGTACCAGGCCGTTAAGGCCTATAGGGTTGGGAGATGTTGAAGGCTATGTATTATGTCTAAAGAGGAAGTATGATCTCTGGATTGCATATACTAGGATTGGGCTCGAAAATCATTTCCAGAAAGGAAAGCAGTACATCAGAATTAACTGGGCCTTTTTGACTAAATGCGTATTCTTCAGCTTCCGTTATCCGCTGGTTAACACTCCACAGTTGGGCACTGAACTCAACTGAACTGCTTGTAGCGTCGACTGTCCTCAAAATGAGCCTTTGCCACTATCCCCACGGAAAGCACAGTTTTCTGTTTTGAAGAATTCGTGTTCATTGTCCCGTTACCTAGCAATGGATATATGCAAACCACATAGAAAACACATCTTGCGACGCCGGTTCTGTTGATTCGTTCACATATTTCGGGCGTTGCCTAGAATTGGGTTTTCCAAGTAGTCTGAAAATGTTTAATGAAGACATATGTATTTACCGTCAACGCCAAAATACCGTCGCATTACATAGGCAACACGCAACAGACCGACAGACCGTTGCTAGGAATAACTGTGGCAACGATTTATGGAAACAGAGGGAATACTGCAGTTCCACGGTTTCAATAAACCGTTGCCACGGTTATTCCTAGCAACGGTCTGTCGGTATTCGATTTGTCGCTGTGGTAACTCAGCAGTTTCCATTGTATTCGTTGTCGCAGCGTTGGAAGTAATATAAGTTACATTACTTTATATAGGACGCACTATATGTTTCGACCTCAATTGGGTTATCTTCAGGCGCTGCAATTTTTTCACATACTACACGTATTACCGAATTGCAACGCTAATATTCCCATTTCATAAATGTGTCTTACAAGTTAATTTCTCTTTAATCCAGAAAGTAGACAAAACTGGGACTGGACTTTGGTTACAATTAACAATAAAGTACAATAAAATAAGAATAAAAATCGTACATATGATAAAGTCTTAAACATAATATATTAAAACTCCGTGGCCTGTAGTCCCCAAGCGAACTATATTAACAAACGACCGCTGCTTGTCGGCGAAGTTAGTGCTAACTTTTCCGTGTCTTGTGGTCAGCACAACGAATCGCCACGGCCGTTAATCTCGAGTTTCTAGATTTGAGCCCATATTTCCTTGAAATAGGTCCTCACATATGTTCACGAGGCTGAGTAGAACCCGTTCCAGACCAACTACTTCTCAGAAAATCAGGTAGCGGAAGGAATCGAACCCGGACCTCTGAATCTGTAGCTAGAGACTCTGACCCCTAGACCATAGAGGCGGTCAATAACATGTTAAACCGAATTTGAAAATTAGGTGATCCTAAATCCAAAAATAGATGTTTAAAAACGATTTAAAACGATTTAAAAACGACATTTTAAAATGTTATATAAGCTGCTAGTAATTTCGTGTTTTTTACTGCAACAGACCACTCCCAAGCTTCATCACTTCTTTCTACTGTTTGCTGCATTGGCTCGCCATGTTAGTATCGTAATGTTGCCGCATAATATACTGGCTCCCGACAACATGAAAGAAAAGGGATATATTCTCTGGAAAAAAGGCAACATTAGGATACTAACAGCTATGGCTGTCTCAAGCCCATGGGCAAAAATTAGCAAAAGAGAGTTTAATGCATCGACAAATGAGAATATTTTTAGATTTATGAATGACTACTTTGGTGGACCTCAAGCTTATCTTATATTTCTTTATGTTCAGTTCTGGGAGGACATCTCTGACGAGCACGGTATCGACCCAACTGGTGCCTACCATGGTGACTCCGACCTTCAGCTTCAGAGAATCAATGTCTACTACAATGAAGCATCCAGTGGAAATTATGTACCCCGGGCCATAATGGTGGATCTTGAACCTGGCACAATGGACTCTGTCAGATCGGGGCCTTACGGTCAAATTTTCAACCCCGACAACTTCATTTTTGGTGAGAGTGGTGCTGGCAACAACTGGGCCAAGGGTCACTACACTGAAGGTGCTGAGCTTGTCGACTCTGTGTTGGATGTGATAAGAATAGAAGCGGACCGTTGTGACTGTCTGCAGGGTTTCCAGCTGACCCACTCCTTGGGAGGTGGAACTGGTTCTGGCATGGGAACATTACTTCTGTCCAAGATCATTGAGGAATATCCAGATAGGATGTTATGCTCATACTCTGTTATACCTACACCAAAGGTATCGGAAACTGTCGTTGAACCTTACAATGCGGTACTGTCTGTCCATCAGCTTGTTGAATTTACTGATCACACATTCTGCATTGACAATGAGGCCCTCTATGACATTTGCTCCAAGACACTGAAACTCAAGACTCCCACATATGGTGACCTGAACCATCTAATCTCGCTCACAATGTCCGGTGTGACAACGTGCCTGAGGTTCCCAGGTCAGCTGAATGCCGACCTCCGGAAACTTGCTGTCAACATGGTCCCTTTCCCACGTCTTCACTTCTTCATGCCAGGTTTCGCACCTCTCACCTCCCGTGGTTGCCAACAGTACCGAGCACTGACAGTACCAGAACTGACTCGACAGATTTTTGATGCCAAAAACATGATGGCTGCCTGCGATCCAAGTCATGGCCGTTACCTCACAGTTGCTGCTGTCTTCAGAGGACGCATGTCAATGAAAGAAGTTGATGAACAGATGCTGAGCATTCAGAACAAGAACAGCAGCAACTTCGTTGACTGGATCCCTAACAACGTGAAGACTGCTGTTTGTGACATCCCACCCAGAGGACTCAAAATGTCTGCAACCTTCATTGCTAACTCGACTGCTATCCAGGAGCTGTTCAAGCGTATCTCAGAGCAGTTCACATCCATGTACAGTCGCAAGGCTTTCTTGCACTGGTACACCGCTGAGGGCATGGACGAGATGGAGTTCAGCGAATCCGAATCAAACATGAATGACCTGGTGTCTGAGTACCAGCAGCACCAGGAGGCAACTGCCCATGAGGATTTAGAGTTTGACGAGGAGGAGGAAGTTGACAATTGAGTGATATATATGTATTATTCAAATGTTAAAATAAGGGTGACATGTTACAGCACCAGTATTATATGGAAACTGTTCTTCGTGCCCAGTTGCAATGGACTAATTCACAGTAAGCCCAATTATAGGTAATTTTCTTGAAATGGCTCATTTGAATGAATTGCTTGTGCCATATTGAAACAGTTCTATAAGACAGGTCAAGTTAAATTTACGAAATTTATTATTCCGTGTTCTTTTGAGAAAAATCTTGGGCACTGCTGCTTATCTTTAATTAGAGCCAAGATCCATGTACTTGCAGACTGTAAGCTATTAATTCCCCTGATGTCCTCGCTACCAAATTCAAATCTCGTATATTCAATGCAAAACCTATATTGTTGGGGTTCCTCAGGTGACTTCTGTGTACTACTAACACGGGCGCCAACCACGGCGACTCATTAGAGATAATAATTCCCTTAACCAGGATCTCCTCTAGCTGGCGTCTCATCTCCTATTAATCGGAAGGGCGTCACCTCTCCGAACGTGACGACATCCGTTGTACTAAGCAGGACACTTGTGCTCTCTTTACAAACCCACTAATTACACTGGTACCACAATTCATATTTCCTAAGCCTAGGCATCCCTTTCTCTAGGCCCTCCAACCTCTGGAGCAAAAACTCGGCTCGCTACCGAGCCACATACGCATCCGGCGTACATGCTCCAAGGGGCTCAATTGATATTTCAACTGCAACTGCATCCCGTAACATTTTTCTATTTTCTCTGTCCCTCAGACAATGAGTGGAGGGTGATGATTAGCTCTTGAGCCGCAACGTTCCAGCAATCAATGTCGGATTCTCCCGGGTTCGAACCTGGGATGGATCTGCCGTCAGTTCGCCCTAAAATGTCGATCCCGGGGTGATCAGTCCCGTTCTCGACAATTTTCGGCAGCGGGCGTCCCTGTCGGTGGACTAGTGTCTATCTTCACCACTTTCCCTCACACTCGATGACGCGTTCGTCACAGGACGGATGTACTGGTTCCCAAATCGACATGTGCCTCCATATATCTTGAGTACATCAACCCCCAACATGTCACATTACTCCCATCTCTAGACGAACTCTCAAAATCCGTGAGTACAAATTTTCCTACCATAAATACCGTCACCGGAGCTACCATGAATTTCAGTTTACTTCCAGTGATCCCTCTTGTAGTTGTCTGTCATCCGAATTTCGGATGTGTCAGTCTCTAGCTTCTTCCCTCTTAAACTGACTTTTGTGATTAGTTCCTTGTGTTTGAACACAGGCAGAGAGCATCCCTTGCTCCGCACCATCGTGAATTTAAACGGTATCTCCTCGTCATCGCAGTCAGTTTGATCGCTACACCGCGTTACACCATTGTTCAAGACATATTATAACAATAAGCGGAGATGTTGCACACATTTTTCCATTATTTTTCATGACACGTACACAAAAATACCCTTACGAGGAAGCATAATATAGCCTTATCTTAAACAAAATAAAAGGACTAACACAATTCTCCACAAAGACTAACAAATTTCTTGTGTGTATCAAAAGTTCCATTCTAGTTCTCATTAGTGAATATCTTATATGACGGTGCCTAAAGTCTCCTAAACTTCTTTAGAAATCGAATTCCATTCAGAATTCTATCTCTAAACACTTACATTTATAAACATTTTTATCTATCGTAACAAAATCAGCTTCGTACATTTACAAAAAGTTCTTTACCAGCACCTAAACAAACATATCTACCTCCTATAAATCCTTATGACTAATTACAGCGACACACAAATCAAAGCTTGTCTGCAAATCGAAGCTTGTCTGGCGTCCATTCTCTTCTTACAAATATATTAACTCCCCAGAACACATAAAAAACTGATTTTTCTGCCAACCAGGGAACAGCCACCTTTCATCTCTATACAGAAGAATATTATAAAAAGGAAGCGTAGTTAGATGAAGAGTGAATATACAGCAGATTTGAACAATAACAACCAAACGGCATGTAGCGCCGTGCAGTCCGTTGAAAGTCAACCGACGTTTTCGAGTAAGATGTCGCTTTGAACTTCAGGGCCGAAGAACAAGCCATGGAAGAAACCAGCCTAAAAGCAAGTGGCAGCCTGGGCTTTTTGTAGATCCTGCAACCTGCGACTGAAGTTGTTATTAGCTTCCTAGAACTAAGTACCTCCATGGAGGAAGATACTTGTTGCGAAGCTGTTATTTGCTTAGTTTGTTAAGATATTTCTCTACTTCTGTGGGAATTGAAAATAGGAATATATTTCTATGGTCACAAGAATCCGCTACTGATTCCTGTAATTATCTAGTTGCTTGTATTACATATATTCACTTCCTATTTATTTAATATCCATTTCTGAATAAACTTTTATGCATTTTTTATTTTCCTCCTGCCCGCTACATATCCCATCCATCTCATACCCCTTGATTTGGTCACGATAATAATGTGCTTTCGAGTATAATAGCCAAGGTTTCCATGTTAGGTGCTATAACCGCCACCTCGTCCGGTTAAGGTTGACGGAGCCGCACTTCGAAAGTCGCCTTGTAGCTGCTTCGTTGATTGACATGATGATGTAGCCTAGCTTGGGGGCCTTTTACTTTGATGACGTCATTTGTAGCTGTAGATGTTGCCGCGGCTGGGTAACCATGTAGTTACTGCCAAATGGTGGTTTCTTTAATTCAGGTGTCGTAAATGTTGGACGCCAAGTCTATTGTCGGAGAGCAGTAGACTCATGTAAGAGTCTTACACGGGACTTGTTTCGGCAAGTGAGTCGAACAAAATTTACTATTCAACATCCTGCTCAAACTGCGAAAGACATGAAAGAGGCTACTGCAGAAATTACTAGCGCAATACACAGAGCAGTTTGGAGCGCTACACCAGCGACAAACATCAAACAGAATATCCAGAATACCCATGAGAAGTCAAGGACGGCATTAAGGAGAAACAAGTACTAAACAGAAGGCAGATGGGCCGGCATCCCCAAGATAAACGCATTTAAGTAGAAGCGGCTAGAAAATTAAGAGACCAAATACAAGGGATCAAAGATGAGATATTCCAGACATTACTTGAAAGGTTAACGGCGACATCTGACAGCGACTATTCATTCTGGAAGGCAACAAAAACTCGAAATAACCGACACAAAGCACCCCACTAATCAGAAAAGCATAGCAGACTTGGACCCGAAGTGATAAATAGAAAGCGGGTACTTTTGCAAAACATTCAAACCAAATGAATTGCCACAAAAAGAAGACCTCGAAATAGAAATCTCAAAGCGCTGAAGGAAACACTACATATACATAGACAATCAAATTTCATACACAAAATGAAATTCAAAACACAATACAAGAAAATCTCAATTCAAGGAAAGCCCATGGTTATGACCTAATTACATGCAGAATATTGAAATAAATTCCAGGAAAAGACATTGTCTATGTAACAACTGTCCGCAACGCAATTATTAGGACGGGATATTTCTCAGTTCAGTGGAAAGTCACGCAGATCATAATGATCCCAAAACCTGGTAAACAACCAGAGAAGGCCAGATCATATAGACTGATCAGCTTACTCCTAACAATGAGCAATATCTTCAAAAAAGCTATGCTGAAGAGAATACGCCCGATACTACAAGAGAACCTAATCCTCTTGGACAATCAGTTTTTTCGACAGAGGCACTCTACACGGATTACTGAGATAATACAAGGAACTTTAGAAAAAAGAAAGAATACTGCTCTGATGCAGTAGACATCTGACAAGTATTAGATATATTATGGCACCCAGGAATTTTTAAAGTCAGAAAAATTCTTCGCCACGCCTTCTGCAGAATAGTAGATCATATCGAAAGGAGATACTTTTTCAAGATGAATTCAAAAACGAAATCGCAATCATAAGGAAACGTATAGACTTAATGAGAGGATATCCTGTTAAGTTAGTTGTATTCCAGCTCACAAATTGCTCAGACGCAAGATCTGTATCACCACAAGTTTGACTACAAATTTTGTTAAGTGAAATTGGGTAAGTGGTTATAATAATCGTGAGTGTAGCCACCAGCTGACTACTGATTCAGCTTGGAGTAAAATTTAAGATAGGAGAAATCCATTTGGAAACTTAAGCAAGATGTTTAAGTAATTGTACAGGCACCAGTGCGAGTCCCACATAAAGGAACACGTATAGTCTAGTTGAATGTGTACCAATGATTAACGGCACAATAAAGTGTCTCTGTGAACAAGTGTTGCTTACGTAGTAGAAAGAGTCCCCCCCCCCCCGAGCACGACCCTGCTAATGGCTCCTGGGACTGATTTCTCATTTCTATCAATTTGAAGTAGCACATGACCACCAGAATCTCTTTATCAATTCTTCTCCCTTGCTCCACAAAGATTGTAAACGAATTCCACTATGTTTACTGCATCCAACTCCTTACTAATTGCCTAACAACCAGAAGAGGATGTGGTAAGGATGATGGGTGAGCAGAGATAAGGTGGCCGTAGCCGCAACCTACCAGCAGCAGCTCCAGCTGCCAGCGACGAGGCGACCACACAAGTAAGTGACATCCAACGAACAAAAGTGAGTAAAAAGCGGTCAAAAGAAAAGAAGTGTAGTCCAACAGATGGGCCTCGAAGACGGTTAAGAGATATACTCATATCCACGTACATTCATAGAGAAAAACTGTTATCATAACTGTTGCTCTTATTGACCATCGCTCAGACAAACACACGCAATGCGCAATGAGAGGTGCCAACCGGGAATTTCCTCGAGGAAATACAAAATGATCATTGCCAAAGTGAACCAGACGCTCCGATGCAGTAGGCATCTCACAAGGATTAGATATTGTATTATGGCAACCAGGAGTTTTAAAATATTACAAAAAATTCTTCCCCATGCATTCTACAGAAGAGTAGAATCATATCTAATGGATAGACTATTTAAAGAAGAATTCAGAAACGAAATCGCAATCATAAGGAAACCTGAAGCAGGCGTGTAGCAAGGAATTTTCTTAAGAACCTTCCTATATCTTATCTACACAAACGAACTCCACACATCAGACAAAAATCTGCTACTTTCGCCCATGATACAAGAATCCTAGCCACACATGGAGCTCCAGCAACACCCTCAGCAAACCTTGGACAATTGGGCGAAGAAATGGGGGATTAAAGTAGATGGAAGCGAATCCACACATATTACATTCGCCATACGCG